CCATTCATTCCTTTATTCAACATGCCTCTAATGATTAGGTACCCTGTGCAGCACCGTTTCAAGGAACTAGCCTAGCATCTTTGAATAAGCCCTGATAAATGGAAGACAGAGATGGAGACTGGAGGGTCCTCCCTCCCTGAACCCCAAGGATCAGAGCTTAGGACAGAAATGATTAATAAAAACACAACACTGTGGTTCACATCCAGGATATGCAGTCTGATAATTACTCTGCCCCAGCAATAGGTCCTAAGAGATGAAATGAAATGGTGAGTGGTCATGTGGTCAAGCTAGTGGACCGGAAGTCAGAAAATCGAATAAGTGAGAAGGTGGCTTTAAAATGGTAGAGTCAAGAGAAAGCTCCAGAAGAATGTGAAAGGCAGCCACAAGAAACTAAAGAAATAACAATCCCAAGCTCTTCAGAACCTGGGGGAGCTGTACCCAGGAGATCCCAAAAGGAAAACTGTGCAGGCAAGGAATTCATATATTTTTTTACTCCCAAGATCATTGGTAGCTGGGGATCTAGGGGGCCCCATCCAGTTTGGTCAGCCCTCCAAATTTAGGGGGTCATTTCTGGGTTCTGACCGTGGTTGCCATTTTGGGGTTTTTGGGTTTTGTTTCCATTTTTAAAAGCATGAACACTTGAGGAAACAAGATACGATTTTCATGTTAGTGCTCACTAGGATTGTGATATTGGGAGCTATGTACGCTGTCTGCATCCCAGTTGCCTCATCTGTAAAATGAGGATGATAATAATAAATACGACCTACTTTAGGAAGATAATTAGTGTCCCCAACCTGCTAGCTATCATTAAGGATTGGACATTCTGATCGGAGCACTGATTTTCAACCTGCTACAGAGTACCATGCAGAAGAGTCTGAACGCTCTCTAAAAGAGCTATCTTTTCAATTACCAGTAAATGTTAGGGAGGTGATGGACACGGAGTTGCCTCTTCTGCAAAAAAATCTGAATACCAGGAAAATAGGACATGTGCATACTAATCAAGGCAACTTACCCTGTGGTTTATCCATAATAAGTCTGACTTGGTCATTAGTGAGTATTTTATCACTTTGCTTGATTCCTTCCTTGTTTGAAAGCTGAGCTCCCTTTGTTAGCATTCCATCTGAAAGAACTTTTACAAGAACACCACGATACACGTAACACCCTCAACTCTGCGAGGACCATTTCAGGAAAGGTAGCTTTGTTTGGGTGAGTGTTTGGATTGATCTGAGAAGATGAGACATCTAAACACAGCCTAAAAAAGACCGCAGAGAAGAGCAGGACAGAAGGCAAGATAGAGAAATTGGATGGTTTCCCAACTCCAACTGAGTCAGAAAATCACAGCGTGGCTTCATTCCTTTGTTTGAAGTAAATTCCCAGAACATCAGACACACCCATACTCACATGTAAGTAGAAAAACACTTTCTAAAGCCAGATGAAAACGGTATCTGTGTTGGCTTTCTGTTGCATGTCTATGCCTCCTAAATCCACCTTAACTGAAAATTAACTTCACTGAAGGTCAACTTTGGTGAACTGTAATCTTCCTCGAAACAGAGAGAGACGCCAAGGCAAATCAAAGGGGCAAGTTTGTGTTAAGATTTGTCAGGCAACAAGATGATGAAAGAATTCATTAATAAAGTGTAAAACCTTTAAGTGATAAATAATTCTCTTTTTCAATGATTTGTACTTGATTGCTCTTCAATGATTTCAGTAATGGCCTAAAGAGGAGTTAGATAATACAAAGAGGCTACTTCTTATGTAGAAGGGTGGTATTATCACTCTAGCTCTGTCACTGGAAAAGTGTTTTTGTTTGTTCAGCCTGATGCCTGTTTTTGTAAGTCCTGCAAGCTAAAAATCATTTTTACATGTTTAAATGGTGGGGGCACAATTAAAAGAAGAAGAAGATTCTGTGACATTTGGAAATTATATGATATTCAAATTTCAAGGTCCATAAATAAAGTTTTATTGGAATATAGCCACACTTACTCATTTACATACTGTCAATGGCTGCTTTCACTCTAGAGTAGTAGAGTCCAGTTGCCCTTGGAGCCTTAAGAGAGACCATGCAGCCCTCAAAGACTAAAATATTTAGTATCTGGCCCTTTACAGAAAAATGTTTGCCAACATCTATGCCAGCTAGCCCATACAATTCACTATTCTCCAGTGATAATGTTCTTCTTTTATGGTTAATGATTAATACATGGTTAACTCACAAGTCAACTCTATAATCTAAAATCTTATCATTCTATTGTACAATCCAGCCATCATGCTCCTTGGTCTTTACCCAAAAGAGTTAAAAACTTTGCCCACACAAAAACCTACACATTGGCATTTAGAGCAGCTCTATTCACAGTTGCCAAAACTTGGAACCAACCAAGATGTTCTTCAGTCTGTGAATGGATAAGTAAACTGTGGTTAAAGCAAGGAGGAATCTTAAATGCATATTACTAAGTGAAAGAAGCCAATCTGAAAAGGCTACATACTGGATGATTCCAACTATATGACATTCTGGAAAAGGTGAAACTATAGAGACAGTGAAAAGATTTGGGGGAGGGTAGCATGAACAGATGAATAGGCAGAGAGCACAGAGAGCTTTTAGAGCAGTGAAAATACTCTGTATGGTTTTATAATGAAGGATACATGTCATTATGCATTTGTCCGAACTCATAGAATATACAACACCAAGAATGAACCCTAAGTTAAGCTATGGATATGGGGTGATTATGATATGTCAATGTAGGTTCCTTCTTGATAAAAAACAATGCACCACTCTGGTAAGTGGTGTTGGTAATGGAGGAAGCTATGCATGAGTGGGGCAGGGACTAGATGGGAAATCTGTATCTTCCCTCAATTTTACTGTAAACCTACAATTGCTGTAAAGAGATAAACATCTTTTAAAAATCCTATCTTTCTTTCAAGTTTCCTTTTACTAACTCCTTCTCTGCCTACTGTAAACATCAACTTATATTTTATTTAAAAAATAATTTTAGGGACGCTGGGTGGCTCAGTTGGTTAAGCGTCTGCCTTCAGCTCAGGTCATGATCCCAGGATCCCAGATCAAGTCCCACAGGGAGCCCGCTTCTCCCTCCGCCTGTTGCTCCCCCTGCTTGTGCTCGCTCACTCTCTCTCTCTCCCCGACAAATAAATAAATAAAATCCTTAAAATTTTTTTTTAAATGGAAAATAATTTTAAGAAAGAACAAACTGTCCCTTTCAATTTGTATATTACAGTCCTTTGTTGCACATCTCATTTCATTTACTGAATTTTATTTTTTTTTAAGATTATTTATTTATTTGAGAGAGAAGGTGCCACGCACAAGCATGAGCAGGGAGGAGGGGCAGAGGGAGAGGGAGAAGCAGGCTTCCCGCTGAGCAGGGAGCCTGACGCAGGACTCGATCTCAGGATCCTGGGATCATGACCTGAGCCCAAGGCAGACGCTTAACTGACTGAGCCACCCAGGGGCCCCTCATTTACTGAATTTTAAATACTGGTGGATAAGGATTGACTGAGTCTTAACCATCTTTGAATCTAACAAAGCATGCAGACAGCTGTGACATGGTAGATGTTAAGCAATGAATGCTTTTCTTAAACAAGTATGCCATATTTGGAGGGGTCAAAACACTTATTTATTTTTTTTAACTCCTCTGGACTCCTTTCTTTAGTCCAAGGTCTTACTGAGCTTCCTTATCATTCCTTGTCCATTTCCCACCTGTCATGACACTGAAGACCCTCTTGCTGCCCAGATACTCTACCCAACATCATAATTACTAGAAGACGCAAACAATGAATCGTGGAATGCTACATCAAAAACTAACGATGTAATGTATGGTGATTAACATAACATAATAATAAAAAATAAATAAATAAAAAATAAATAAATAATTACTAGAAGGTGATTACATTCTTGTTTTTTTGTTTTTTGTTTTTTCTTCATCATTCCAGCTCTCAAATTTTTCTTTGTTGTGTCTCATTTCACTTGAAGGAGTCTGATGTACTGTGTTCCAAGCCCTCCAGAATATACATAAGAGGCAGAGGAAAAAGGGGGAAAAAAGTTAATCTGAATTTGCTTTCTTAAGGAGCAATCCAGTCCAGCATTGTTATAAGATGATGTACCATATTTCAACAAATGATTTAAATAAAAATGATGAAGGTGACCATATCAGAAAAGCCTCATATATTGAATCATGCAAACAAGTTAAAAGCTATATGATCCTTCCTAGAGGGGAAAAAAAAAATTGGAAGAATACCTTTAAAAATCTCTCCCGGGTATTAAAGTTCTATATGTTTATTGGATATAATATGAATAAGAGTGCAAAGAAAACAATAAAGATTAATCACAAGCCTCAGTGTCCTTTGGTAAAATGATTTGCATGCTTTTCCCCTATAATTTTAAGATAAAATTGAGATTCAAATTGTATTAGCAATTTTGATTCTTGTTTTTTTAACCTTGGTCAAGGACCTCTTGTCATAATGTAACAATGCATTCCTAACCTTGGAATTCCTAACAATCGGGAGATACAAGTCAAGCCAATCTTTGGGAGCCTGTGCGCTGGCTTCCCAGTTCCCCCGCTTCCCAGTACCCCAGTCCCACCCACATTTATGGGTATGGTTGATACCATGCTGTGGGCATTAACTGAAACCATGCCGGGAGAGAGCTTTATAAACTGTCAAGCATGCCACAGATGTGATGCAACATTTGAAGGTGTGCCCAAACATTAGCTAAATCCTAATCTTGTGCAAGAAGTGCTTGTATGTTGAGAAGCAGTCACTCTCCTCAAGGAGGCATGCCTTCTGAGGGAATGAGAATTGCATCAAAGGCAGCTGACTGGATTTGCAAACACACCCTCATTTTAGAGACAATTTTGCTTTTATTGATTCTGTCTTTGTCTATCTGAGGGAAGATTTGAGGTAATTACTTGAATACTTCAAGCCCCAAGCCCCTAACTAACTTCCTTACCACACTGATGACTTCGTTAGGAAATACTTGTGGGAGACCCATTTACCTGCATAGTTATTTCACTTCTTCCTCACTTTTCCTACTGGAGGCAGAATTCCGTCCTTCTCTCCCTGTGCTCTTTTGTCCTCTTGTCAAACTTCAGGAATGAATTACAGAAAGGAAGGTTCTTGTTGCCTCATTCCCTTCCAAGACGTTTTTTTTTCCCTAATGCTTTCCTTCCACCAAAATAAGAATTAAAAGTGATATTTCATTTGACAGCTGGTAACTAATCCCACCTTAGCAGGAAGGAGAACAGGAAGCCAGCAAAGGAATTTTCCATTCCGATGTCCCTTTCAATTTTTTTCCACATCAGGTACTTTTCAAAATCTAGACATTTCCAGTGAGTCTGTATATCTTCTTGTTTTGTCTACCAGAGTCACTTGTCCTTTAACTTCTTCTATGCCAATGAAAAACCTCACTGAACTGATGTTTGTAATTGAAGGAGGGAGAACTTGAGAGCTTTTGAAATTCCAAAGGGAATATAACTGAAATGGGATTCTTTGGCTTATGCAAACAGGATTTTTGCTTTTGTAAAGATAAAGTTCACCCAGCGAGTCCCTCAAACCACACATCAAAATGCTTCATATTGTAATGAGAACTACAACTTTGACTCCTGAAATAAGTCTCTGCTCAACCATCTCCCCTCCCTTCCTGCCTTCCATCTTTCCTTCCTTCTTCCCACCCTTCTTCCCTTTCCCTATCCCTTCCTTCTTCCCTTCCTCTCTCCCTGCCTCCCTCCCCCATTCATCTCTTCCTTTCTTTTCTGTTTAAATACTAAAGGGCTCTGTGTATTTTAATATGTTCTGAGCCTTCCAGAATGTATATGATAAGAAGTGGAAGAAAAAGTAAAGAGCCAAGGAAAGAGTCGACTTGAATTTGTTTCTTAAGAAACAATCCAGTTCGGCATTTTCAGAAGACAATGCATGATATTCCAACGAATGATTTTTTTTTTTTAAGATTTATTTGAGAGAGAGAAAGAGAACACATGCCTGCGTGAGCAGGGGGAGGGGCAGAGGGAGAGGAAGAGAGAGAATCTCAAGCAGGCACCCCGCTAAGCACAAAGCCCGAGGTGGGGGCTCGATCCCATGACTCCCAAGAACATGACCTGAGCCGAAATCAACAGTCAGACGCTCAACCGACTGAGTCACCCAGATGCCCCTCAAAGAATGATTTTTTTTTTCATGATGAAATTATAGTTTCCTAAAGTGGGTGATTTGGACAAAATGTGAAAGAAATATATTCATGTAAACTGGTATCATTTCAAATGAAACAATTTAATTAAGACGATGTCTACAGCAACACGTTAAATTCTATATAAATAGCATTTAACATTGCTCTGTTTTTCTGAAATTTTTTTCTGAAAATGTTTTTGAAATTTCCAAGTGCATATTTTTACTGAAGCAATAATAATTAGAACCTAAATAAAAGCAATAAGAAACATTTATTGAGGGCATACTAGTAGCAGGGACTGTTTTAGACACTTCTGATGTATTAACTCATTTATTTTTCTCACTTAACCAGTGGGTAAGCTGAGGAAGCCACAGGCATCTTATAGTATCTGCTTAAGGCCCTACACCTAGTCAATAATGGCCCCAGGGTATGAACCCAGGCAGTCTGGCTATAGAACCAGAGATCTGAACCACTTCTTTCTGCCTAGGTATCTATCAGCTGAGCAAATCTTTTCTTGGTTTAACAATTATATTGTCTTTTTTTTTTTTTTTTTAGATTTTATTTATTTATTTGGGAGAGGGAATGAGATAGAGAGAGTATGAGAGAGGGGAGGGTCAGAGGGAGAAGCAGACTCCACGCCAAGCAGGGACCCCGATGCGGGACTCGATCCCGGGACTCCAGGATCACGACCTGAGCCGAAGGCAGTCGCTTAACCAACTGAGCCACCCAGGTGCCCCAACAATTATATTGTCTTGATTCAATATCGACAAAGAGCCCCAGACTGAATTTTATCAGCCCCCAGATGAAAGTAAAATCATTTCAGATTATAGTAACTAGAGATCAGTTTTTGCATCTCTAGTTCTAAATACGGTCAGCTAATAAAATAGGCAAATACAACTAAATTATAATGAAAGGTAAGGAAGGAGGGAGGAGAAAAAAGAATAGGGCAGAAGGGAAGGAGATAGGAAAGCATCTTTATCTGTTAGAATAGGATTTAGGTCTAAAATATATATTTATACATAATTAACACACTTTAATATAGATATATTATTAGTTATATTAATTACATTATATAATTATGTTTGTTATTATAACAATCGTAATTATATAATATAATTAATATAACTAATTAATTATAAATATATTAATATATTAATATATATTAATTTGATTTAGCACACATTTACTGAGCACCAGGCACAGGCAATGTGTATATAGTGTTCATAACACTACAGTTATGAACTTGAATAAGACATGGTCCCCTGCCTGCCTGCCCTCAAGAAGTTATTAGTCTAGTAGGAAAATACAATTAAGTATGGAAACAACAACAACAAAACTGCTGGATTTCAGGTAATAGGAATGCTTAAAAGAAGTACAAACCCAACTGGTAAGGGATCAAAGCAGGGACAATTTAATCCACTGGTGGAGATCCCCAAAAGCGGCATGCGAGTGGTAATTTCATGAAGTTTCAAGAGGTAGGAAAGGTTATACATGTATTCTGAACCTAAAGAAAAACATGAACGAAGACAGAACAGAGAAACTCTTGGGGAAACAAGAGTGTTGCAGGTTGATGTGGGTTTGGGGCAACTCTAATAAAGCAAAGGCTGAGAGGCGCCCGGGTGGCTCAGTCGGATAAGCCTCTGCCTTCAGCTCAGGTCATGATCCCAGGGTCCTGGGATACAGCCCAGCATCAGGCTTCCTGCTCAGCAGGGAGCCTGCTTCTGCCTCTGCCCCTTCCCCTGCTCATGCTCTCTCTCTCTCTCAAATAAATAAATAAAATCTTAAAAAATATATAAATAAAGCAGAGGTTGAAAACGGTGGTGCCAGACCCTGGAAGAGCTTCATTGTCCACTGAGGATGTTGTGTTGGGTGTGGGAGGCAACAAGGAGCCACTGGAGGCTGGAGTCAGAATGGGAATCTGCCCACAAATCTAAGTGGAAAGAGACAATTGGGCGGGAGGAGGGGTGCATACAAAAAAGGGGTGGAATGAATCAGGAGTCATTTATTAATGAGAGCTGAAGTTAGTGAGTCGAGCAAGAATTGGGCAAACATAAACGGAATAAAAATGGTTTTATGTTATTTAGCAGTTGATAAAACTAAGCAATAAGGGAGAAAACAGCCAAAGATAATTCTCAGTTTTCATTATTTGAGTACGTGGGAGGAATTCTGCTGAAGATTCATTACATCTTAATGAGAATAATATTTTCCAATGGCAGCAAGTAAGTACAAGCAGCCAATGCAGGGGCAACATTATTAGAGAAAAAGTCAGGAAATTGGGTTCTACCTCTGTACTGACAACTAACCACAGACATGACCCTTGTCAAGACACTTTATTTCTTCGCATCTTAGTTTCCTAGCATGCCAGTAAGAGTTGGATGATAAATAACATTTTATTGTTCCATATTATAATGAAGCTTCATAAATAAGAACAGGGATTATGTCTTTTGTTTTATTCTACACTGCAAAGTCAGTGCCTAACACAGTACCTCAACTGTAAAATGTGCTCAATAAATACATGCCTAATGAATGAATGAATGAATGAATGAATGAATGAATGAATCAACAAAAGATTGTGTGTTTATATCAAGGCAAAAGGACCGATTGATTCAACATGTTTTTTAAGATTATATTTATCTATTTGAGAGAGAACAAGAGCGAGAGAGATCACAGAGGGAGAGGGAGGAGCAGACTCGCCACTGAGCAGGGAGCCTGATGTGGGGCTTGATCCCAGGACCCCGAAATCATGACCCGAACCGAAGGCAGACACTTAACCGACTGAGCCACCGTGGCGCCCCTTGTTTTTGTTTTTAAGTCAAAGGAGACATTTGAAGTTTTAGCTTCATTATTAGAGCTGGATTTGACACTAAAAAATTATAGTCACACTTCTATAGTCTTCAAAGTTTTTGCTATTACTCACATGTAAATATTCCCAGCAATTATTACTCTTCAAAATGGAAAATTTCTGTACATTTCTGTAGATCTCTTTTTCCCATTGCTATCTCTCCAGGTTGCTAATGCTATATAAAATAGAGATCTAATTGAGGCTGAAGTGGAAGGAGTTACTTTGAAATTTCACTGGTTTGGAAATCTTGCATTTGGTTGTGGATTTCTATAGTGCTGTTTGAAGATAAAATACAGCTTGAATGGTTTTTTTCCTACAATAAATTGGCTGACTATATTTATAATGCCCAGTTATTTTGGTACCTTGTAAATCACAATCCAGCTTAGAAAGCAACATATTTCACATTTCAACTATTGCTTTGATTCACAAGGACAAAGAATGAAGGAGCCAAAACTTAGCAGAACTGTGTAGACAAACCTCTGCACACAATTGCTCTAGAAAGTGTATTCACAATTTCTCCTTTCCTGATCTATGAGTTTCAAAAGCAGGTTGCTAAGTATTAATACATTCTATCCCCCACAACAGAAACACACATTACAAAATATCTGAATATTTAGTATGATGTATACAAAATACCTAGATGATAGATTGTTTGCCTGTAATAAAGATGTTTGAACATTGTATCTAATGGCTTATATACTATCTTATCCTAATCCTAACCCCTATTTCTTTCTTATTTAAAATTTAATAATATAATGAATTGGATATGCAAACAGTTCAGTGTATGTTATAGACTAAGACTATAATAAGATAAAACCAGACCTTCATAAGATGCTTTGATAAGTCAGAAGATAAATCATAAGATAAATAATACTTTGTGAGATTATATCTAATACTATCCCAAATAAGTAAATGTAGTAAATAAGTATAAAGTAAATAAGCAAATTATTCATTTCAATAAATTATAAATCACAGAATGTTTTACAGTGAATTGCACTCACATTACAGAAAAGATGTAATTACATTGTTTATCCACAGAGTATTTTAATAAGCTCA